CACACACAAACTGTGTGACACAAACATGATTCACATTTAACAGTATGCTATTTTTCCGTTTACAGACACTACGTTATTCTATATCGCGATTAGAACAAAGCACTTGCAAAAAACACTTACTTCTCAGCTGAATCTGTTCATCCTCGAAGTGAAAATAACCCAGTGGTAAATGTCCCAGGATTGTTCCACATATAGCCGCGCAAGACGACAGTAGATTAATCTGACTAAAAAATAATGTGTGTTTTCAGAGTTCATGGGCGTTAACGCGTCTCAATGTGTTGCTTCACATATTTGCGTTTGAATAGCGCGTGCTCTCCGTAGGCGTGTCACATTACCACAGATAATCAGCTGAGAGAACGATAATGAGATGGGCTGACACGTCTCTCTTTTTATATAGATGACATAAACGGAGAATAATAATTTTAGTTTTGAATCGGATCATTTAAAAGTACAAACTCAAATGATTTAAAAGATATATTGCTTATGGCTGGGTGAATAGTATTAGCTGAGTTGTGTTGAAGATTAGAGACGTGCTCCAGAAAAAAAGTTCACGGTGACCGAGAGGCAGAACGCACACCCTGTTTATTTTCTTTATTTTACAAAAGCACAATATTTTATTTCGATTGTATGTGGGCACATAAAAAAGTAGACATTTAACAGATTATTTTCTCATATTTCTTAACTCTATATGAACAGAAATGATGGTAGTACTTTAAGTCTATTTTTCTGCTATGTGAAAAAAAACGAGCAAAACGCGCCGGCGCGTTTCTGGTCCCCAGAGGGTTAAACGATGCCCAATTGGCACTAAGGGGCCTAAAGTGTGCCAGGAAAACATCCCCCACACCATTACACCACCACCACCAGCCTGCACAGTGGTAACAAGGCATGATGGTTCCATGTTCTCATTCTGTTTACGCCAAATTCTGACTCTAACATCTGAATGTCTCAACAGAAATCGAGACTCATCAGACCAGGCAACATTTTTCCAGTCTTCAACTGTTCAATTTTGGTGAGCTCTTGCAAATTGTAGCCTCTTTTTCCTATTTGTAGTGGAGATGAGTGGTACCCGGTGGAGTCTTCTGCTGTTGTAGCCCATCCGCCTCAAGGTTGTGCGTGTTGTGGCTTCACAAATGCTTTGCTGCATACCTCGGTTGTAACGAGTGGTTATTTCAGTCACTGTTGCCCTTCTATCAGCTCGAACCAGTCTGGCCATTCTCCTCTGACCTCTGGCATCAACAAGGCATTTCCGCCCACAGAACTGCCGCTCACTGGATGTTTTTTCTTTTTCGGACCATTCTCTGTAAACCCTAGAGATGGTTGTGCGTGAAAATCCCAGTAGATTAGCAGTTTCTGAAATACTCAGACCAGCCCTTCTGGCACCAACAATCATGCCACGTTCAAGGTCACTCAAATCACCTTTCTTCCCCATACTGATGCTCGGTTTGAACTGCAGGAGATTGTCTTGACCATGTCTACATGCCTAAATGCACTGAGTTGCCGCCATGTGATTGGCTGCTTAGAAATTAAGTGTTAACGAGCAGTTGGACAGGTGTACCTAATAAAGTGGCCGGTGAGTGTATGTGTCACAGTCTTCGTCTGCACCTGTCTGTCTTAGTCATCTTCACTACACTTCCCAGCATCCTCTTGTCTCCACACCTGAATTCACTCCCTCAATCATCCACCTGTTCATCGTCTTAATCATCTGTGTCACCTGTCCTCACCTCGTTAGTGGTCGTTTGTATCTGTATTTAGTTCTCTCTGTTCAGTCTGTCTTTGTCGGTTCTTGAACATGTTACGTGTATATGTTATGTGTTAATGTGAGAATTTACCTTTTGCCTGTCAACCTGCCTGTACCTGTTTGTTGTTTTGGAAATCTTAGTAAATGTTGGAATTTGAGCCTTGTCTCAGCCTCTCCTTCATCCTGCACCATAACCCGTGACAGAAGAACCGACCAAGACAAAAGATGGACGAAGCTGGATCAATTTTGTGTTCTATTACCCAGAATGGCCGTGGGATAGAATCTTACGTAGAGGAGTTCATTAAGTACAGCCATCAAACCTCGCTCTCTGATCAGCAGTTGGGGGATCTATTTTGGAGTGGACTCGATTCACACTTCTACTCGTGGATCCCGCCCAGAAATCCAGGTGAGACCATTGAGTGGTACCTGGATCTTGTGCTGTGGTTGAGTGGCTCAACCCTCACCGTAGGCGAGGTTGATGACATCGCCACTCAACCACCGTCTCCAGCCATCTTCACCACGCCTACCATCAAACCAGCCTCCGGATCGGTATGTGGACGTCCTGGACTGGTTTCCTGCATAGCCGATCCCCCACTGATATCAGCACGTACTGCCAGGAAGGCCATACTCTCTGAGTCTCGTCCCGCTGAGACCTCCAGCCCAGCCGAGCCTTCGCTCCACGTCCAGCCAGAGACTGTCCAGCCAGAGACCGTCCAGCCAGAGACCGTCAGTCCAGAACCCTCACCGCTGGTTCCGTCCAGTCCAGCCGAGCCATCACCGCTGGTTCCGTCCAGTCCAGCCGAGCCCTCACCGCTAGTCCAGCCAGAGCTTCACGTCCGCCACGTCCAGCCAGAGCTTCATGTCCGCCACGTCCAGCCAGAGCTTCACGTCCGCCACGTCCAGCCAGAGCTTCACGTCCGCCACGTCCAGCCAGAGCTTCACGTCAGCCACGTCAGCCACGTCCAGCCAGAGCTTCACGTCAGCCACGTCCAGCCAGAGCTTCACGTCAGCCACGTCCAGCCAGAGCTTCACGTCAGCCACGTCCAGCCAGAGCTTCACGTCAGCCACGTCCAGCCAGAGCTTCACGTCAGCCACGTCCAGCCAGAGCTTCACGTCAGCCACGTCGAGCCTGAGCTTCCCTGCAGCCCTGCCGAGCCTGAGCTTCCCTGCAGCCCTGCCGAGCCTGAGCTTCCCTGCAGCCCTGCCGAGCCTGAGCTTCCCTGCAGCCCTGCCGAGCCTGAGCTTCCCTGCAGCCCTGCCGAGCCTGAGCTTCCCTGCAGCCCTGCCGAGCCTGAGCTTCCCTGCAGCCCTGCCGAGCCTGAGCTTCCCTGCAGCCCTGCCGAGCCTGAGCTTCCCTGCAGCCCTGCCGAGCCTGAGCTTTCTCCGCTGGTCCCGTCCAGCCCTTCTGAGCCTTCTCCGCTGGTCCCGTCCAGCCCTTCTGAGCCTTCACCGCTGGTTCCATCCAGCCCAGAGACTTGTAAGGACTCTGTCACTCTCCCCATTAATTTTGGGGGGGGGGGGGGGGGGGGGTCATAGGCCCTCGCCGTGGGCGCCCAAGGACCCACGGCCACCCGAAGGGGCTTCTCCGCCATGGCCGCCCGAAGGGTCCTCACCACCATGGCCGCCCGAAGGGTCCTCACCACCATGGCCGCCCGAAGGGTCTCCACCGCCCTGGATGCCCGAGGGTCCGACAGTTCCACCCTGGACGCCCGAGGGTTCGTCTGCTCAGCCCTGGCCACGCCCATGTCCTGCTCCGCCCTGGCCACGTCCTGCTCCGCCCTGGCCACGCCCACGTCCTGCTCCGCACTGGCCACGCCCACGTCCTGCTCCGCCATGCCCACGCCCACGTCCTGCTCCGCCATGGCCGCCTGCACTTCCTGATCCGCCCTGGAGGCTTCCCGTCCCAGTTTGGCCTCGCCCTGGCCAGCCTTCAGGGCGCCCGCCCCCCCACCCCATTGATGTTCTACGGCGCGAGGTCGCGCCTTGTTGAAGGGGGGCATTCTGTCACAGTCTTCGTCTGCACCTGTCTGTCTAAGTCTTCACTACACTTCCCAGCATCCTCTTGTCTCCACACCTGAATTCACTCCCTCAATCATCCACCTGTTCATTGTCTTAATCATCTGTGTCACCTGTCCTCACCTCGTTAGTGGTCGTTTGTATCTGTATTTAGTTCTCTCTGTTCAGTCTGTCTTTGTCGGTTCTTGAACATGTTACGTGTATATGTTATGTGTTAATGTGAGAATTTACCTTTTGCCTGTCAACCTGCCTGTACCTGTTTGTTGTTTTGGAAATCTTAGTAAATGTTGGAATTTGAGCCTTGTCTCAGCCTCTCCTTCATCCTGCACATAACCCGTGACAATATGCTGTTGAGATAATTAATTGTGTACTTTTAGTTTCTGCATTAGTCACACTCAGACATGTGATGTAGAAGTGGTTGCTAAGGCAGCATTCTTGTGAGAATATTTTGTTGATATGTTAACCTCACAAACCATGAGATGTGGGGATTTGTTTGTGAAACCATAGCAGCTGGTCAGACTAGTTCCGATAGACTTTTCGGAAAGCAACTCATTTCAAGTAAGTCTAAAAATGATTGCACAACAAACACAAAGGATTGTATCAGATAATTAAATGTAATTCACATTTATTTGTATAGCACTTTTATTCACAATACATATTCACGCAGTTTCAAAACTATGTTTCAAAGCAGCTTTACAGAAGATGCATGTTTCTAGATTACAATTAAGAGTAATCTATATGACTTTGTCAGAGTAATGTCCGAATGGCAGAAATATGCAGTTCTATAATACAAATCATGCAATTAGCTAACATCATTCACTTACTGTAACTAACAGAAAAGTTTACCGTAAGTGAAAATTCTATAGGCTATGCCAATTGTGAATGCAGTGTTAAATTAAAACAGTGTTTTTAAAACTGGTCTCATATTAAAAGGACACATTAATGTTTTTCCAGCTATTAGGGGACATCAGAGAAGGCCCAGGACCTTGAAAAATAATTAGGATGCATTTCCACTAATTGATTATACCCTTTGCCTTTTTATACCTTGTTGTGAATGAATATAATTAACGAACAAGAAACAAAACACTATTTGTGGAGCATCATGACTGTCACAAATGTTGTTTCGCTTTCGTTTTTTGGTCTCCGATTGCAGTGCTGGGAAATTGCAAAATGAGGGCAGGTGATGTAATACAGGTGTGTTTTCAAAAGGAAGCACGTAAACAGTCTGTATTTAAGCTCCGTTCACTTCAAGATACATAAACAAGTCTTTTGTGTTTTGAGGAATTGAAGGTCTCATCATGACCATAAAGAAACTGACAGTATTTGTGCTGTTAACAGGGATTGTCTGTACTACTGGGCATGAATTCGTTTCATCAACAGGTATTATTAATTATATTTGAATTAAATTTTTTAATTCAAAAAGTTTATTCCTTTTTTAACCATTATTTTAGTGTTTTGTTCATTATTTATTTATTTACTCTTCTTCCTTTATTGTTGTGCTGATTTTATTTTATTGATTTTGTGTATTTGTCATTTTATTTGTGAGACACTTCTCATAATACAGTAAACAACTTTTGCCACAAGCTTTTTCATTCATAATTAAATCTTCATATATTTACTCACATATTTTGAGATTTACAATCAAACATTCACTTTTTTAGCTATTGATTCCATTAATGACTAAACAATTATTAACTTTCTCTTTGGTTATATAATAAAGATTTTTCATAATGGATGGAAATAAAGTATAATAGAAATACCTGTATACATTTTTTATATAATTATATACAAAAATTAAGTGCAAATATAATTATTTATAGAAAAAGTTGCACAGCTTTTCAATGAGGAGGAAGACCTTCTGAAAAGCTTCAGTCTGTACATCGATGCTGAAGAAAAGAATGTAGAGAGAATGAAGAGGTGAAAACACTTTGAAAAGCATTTTTTTATTAAAATATTTTCAATTTACAGCAATAACCTGGTGAAACCAGTTGTGAATATTTAGCAATCTTGCAGGCATGTGTTTTTAGATCAAGAAATATGTTATTACATTATTTTAACCCTACAACTTTTGATGAACTTCAATCCAGTGTTCTTCTGGTTCTTCAACTACTCACATACTTTGACCCTGCGAACCCTGAGAAAACCATGAGAGACCCTGTGGCAGCTTACAAACTCCTCAGACGAGTGAGAAGTGAATGGTTGACTATTGTCGAATACACTCAATTGAGTCTTTATGAAGGTAAGAGCTTATTTAAGTTCTTTGACTAAAACATGTATCAGCATTTATTATTATTATTAGAAATAAAAATCTAGAGATTAAGGTGAATGATGATGAAAGCTTTCAAGCTATTTTATTAAACGTTTCAGTTGTTTGGATCTGTTCTTGTTTTTGAAAATCTTTAGTATATCAGACACTGCTGGATTATTCAAACATCCCACAGCCTGAGGACTTGAATAATGCCGCTTCAGAACTGATCAGACTGCAAGAATTCTACAAACTCTACCCACACAACATCACAAGGGGTGAAATATCTGCACCAATGCAGTTTCACTTTTTTAGTTTCAAAATAAGTTCCAATCTGATTGATGTTTTCATTTCACATTTCTCAGAAACGTCTCTAAACGCAGATGAAGCCTACCATATGGGGTTGGTCGCTTATAATGAGAACAAATTCCAGCACGCATTCCTCTGGTTTCTGTACAGTCGGGACAGATTAACAGAAAACTCAACCACTACTGAGAAAAAGTTGCTACATTTCCTTAGTTCCTCAGCCTATCATTTTGGCAGCCTACCTGTGGCAATCTACTTCAGCCAACGGCTTCTAAACCTGGGTGAGGTCATAGTGACATGAAGTTTAATATTTTATATGTTAGGTTGCGGGACTATGGAAGTCATAAGCTTCTTTTCCTCAGATCCAACTAATGACGAAGTCAAAGTAGAGTTGAGCCTTTACAAACACCTTCGCTTCGAGAGAAATTCAAATCCTGACATATTCTCGTTGAACACAAAGTCAAATAACTCCTATGAGGCTCTGTGCAGAGGAGAGGTTGACGAGAGGGCAAGTACAGTGTTTACAATTTAATTAATCATTTAATATTAAACAGTCAATGTGAATCTTTGAGTCTATTATATTTGATTAAATCAGACCTCTAAGAGGCAGAGAGCGCTGTCCTGTAGGTACAGCACAGGTGGAGGAAACCCCAGACTGATGTACGCACCAGTGAAAGAGGAAGTGGAGTGGGACGAGCCTCGCATCATCAGATATCATGACATTATATCAGACAGAGAGATGGAGATCCTGAAGAATATCTCCAGGCCTCAAGTGATTATCTAAAACACACACACACACACATCAAAAAACATTAAACTATTTAATTGTCACTATTAGAATCTAATATCTTGTTAATAGTTTTGATGTTATTGTGCTATTGGGCAAAAGTCATGGACATTCCTTTTAAAATTTGGCTTGGCAACTTATTTCTATAGTGAAGACAAATCTATATTTGATGTTCAATTTCCCTTGTGTGGCCTACTTTAGCTTTCTAGGTCGGAGACTATACAGGGAGTCACAAACATCCGTACTTCTCAAAGGTGATAATCTTTTATATTCACCCAAAATGAAAATTAAGCATTAATGTTATTTTATATTATTTATTTGATCAAGTTCAGTCTCACACTTATTATGGGAAGAAAAATGGAAAAAGTTTACAATATGGTTCAATGTGTTAACATACATGTTGCTGAAATCATTCCCTTTTCAGTGTTTTTCTAGAGGAAGACAACACTGTTGCTCGTATCAGTCAGAATATTGCAGACATCACAGGACTCTCAGTGGAATCAGCTGAAGAACTACATGTACGGTCACAGTAAGAAAGAAATCACCTGTTCATGCATAGGCAGCATATTTTTATTAAACTCTTTAACAAAGATTTCCACACAAAATATATAGATTACTAAATCCATTTCAGACTTCAAGGCAACATTGGTTTAGTCTGATTTATTTTGTAGCATGTAGAGGCCATAAGCTCCTTGAGGGCTGATTATTAGGCTACATTTTTATGCAACCATTTTATATTTCAATGGATATCAAGGTCTCTTCAATGGATTAACATTTATTTCCCCTGTGAAGTATTAGGTGTTGTTTTACCTGAAATTTGAATTTCAATGCAATCATTTTCCAGGTTCAGAATTATGGGATTGGTGGCAGATATGAACCGCATTTTGATGCATGGGTAAGATATTTTTGTTCAAATAAAGCTATTACATAAATTTGTTGGCCAACCCTGTATTTGCCATGGATTCCCTCTGGAGTTAAATAAGGTCTGTGGTCTGTTTGTTTGCTTTTGGCATCTGGCAGCGTGTTTGAATCCAGAAACAGTGACAAGTGATGTTAGACATCTTCTTGTTCTTTTAGTTTTAAGTCCACCTACCGGAGTATGCAGCATGAATTATGATTCAATAAAATGAAAAAAAAAACACACAAAAAAACTACTTAATAAATAAAATAAATTCTAGTATACCCATTTATCCTTCAGGTATTCCACAAGAGCTTTCTGTGTATCCTTTACCCCTTCTCCTGTTGTTCCAATACACCCTCAAGATTCCATTTTCTTCCCGCTCGACTTATCTTTTGCTTTAGTCTAATCCTCTCTTCCCTGTATTTCCTACAATGAAACATTATATGTTCTGCACTTTCTGTGATTTTACATTCCAAACATTCATCTGATTGACTTTTACCTAATAAAAACGATATTTTATTTAACCCTGTGTGGTCTAACCTCTCAAACGCATCCCTTCTGTTCATTCTAATCACACCCTGTGCATTGATAGATTTCTGTACATTGTAATATTTCCTTCCACTATTATCCATGTCCCACCTGTCCTGCCATTTTATTTTTTGATCACTGCCTTATTCTTTTTTACCAAAGGGAATATTTATATGTATATATTTAGATATTTAGATACTTACATGAGCAGGTACCCAGCAAATTCACATATCCGAATCCTTCCGCAAACCTAAATAAACCTAAAAAGTCATTGCCTTTAAAAGATTTATATTCCCAACATTCTTGAATAACACTATTGGTAGGATTTTCATTACCACATCCAGGTAGACGACACCAGTATGTACGCATGAGTTTTTCTCTTCTCGGGTCTGAGGGCACTTCTCCTAATTCTACCTGGATTGCCTTAGTCTGTGTTAGTCTCATCATCGCACCAGTACCTCAAAGCTTTATTTATAACTCTAACCATTTTCATTAAATGTGTTTTAGCTGCTGCTCCATACACAACGCATCCATAATCTATTGTTGACCGCATCAGAGCCCTATAAATATACATCAGTGGTTTTTTATCTGCTCCCCAGTCTTTTCCAAATAATGCTCTCATTAGGTTTATAACTTTCTTACATTTTAACTCCACCTTTTCCATTTGTACTTTCCATGTACCCTATTGATCTAACCACATACCCAGATATTTAAAATGATCAACTGTTTCCATATTGTGGACATATAACTTCTGTTTGTCCATCCCTTTCTTCCTGGTAAATAACGCATGACAAGATTTACTTGGAGAGAGCTTAAACCCTCAATTATGACCATTGTTCTACTTTTTATTGCTTCCTTGATTTTACTCATCACATGCCTAGATGACCCCATCGTGAAGTAGACTTTCAAGTGCATTCCCTTTTACGAGGCTGCCATTTGATAGGTCCCATCATGTCTAAAGTCCACTCCCAAACGTAACCACACCCCCAAAAGTCGATAGATGAACTTGGTTAGACATTATCAGCAGGGCATTATCCACTGTTCATCACAATATGTTGTGGTAATTAGTTTACATTTTTAAAACTTTTTAAAACTGACTATGTCTGTGTGCAAGTGTATTACTTTAAAGGGTTAGTTCACCCAAAAATGAAAATTCTGTCAGTAATTACTCACCCTCATGTTGTTCCAACTTTCGTTCATCTTCGGAATTAAAGCTCCAGTCGGCAAGTCTGGCAGATTGAGTGGATTTAGGAAAATTTTGAATGTTTACAACTCTCATGCCCCTCCCCCACTATCAACGGATACCCTCCCACCCAGTTCATGCTCGTCAGTGCGTGTGCACCAGATTTTCAGTGAACGCCAGGGCTCTCAAGTGTCACGCATTGAGCGTGACAGTCACTCATTTCGGTCTTTTGTCACGCTCTCCCGCCACACATTGTATTTCTCACGCTGAAAAACTATTTGTAATATATTTAATATGCCGCAGCGCCCAAAACTCTGGCCGCGCCCCTCTCACTGTGGAACCGGCAAGAATCAATCGCGTTTCCTCTGGTGTTGTTCGTCGAGCTACACAATAGCCAATCAGAAAATAGCACTATTGTATCTGGGTAAGATTTAACGCAACAACCAATGACAAAAATGTATCCAACCCCTCGTCGGCTGGGTGTCACTCTTACCTGTCTTTAAAACTTGAGAGCCCTGGAACGCGCCCGTCTCATCAACATCCATCAACACCATGGAGTATTTGGAGGTATGCTGTCCTGGCTAATGTACCGATAGATTGCAATTACTAACGTCATTTATACTCTAAATGAGCTTACTTGATTTTCCGCCATCACTCTTCGTTACTGCGCGAACTTCCGCGAACTTCAGGCGTGTGCATGTGATTGTAACGTGCTCGAGGGGTGGCGTGTGCCCGATCTGTGATTGACAGTCAGATCTCACACCCCCCTGCGCTGATTGGACATGATGAACCGGGAGCTGTGGATTTTTGCAAAACAAATAACAAGCTCCAGGTGGAGTTAGAAGCTCGGTTTTTTTTCTAAAACCACTTTATTTATGTTGTTCTGTCAGATTATAGTGTCGATTTCACTGAATATGATCAAAAAAATGTTGCCGACGGCAGCTTTAATATATTTTTTATGAAATCTGAGAGCTGGATCACTTCTATTGAGAGTGAGGAGGCACGTGCCGATTTGGGCGGGGTCTGAACCGGTCGGCCATGATGGTAGGAGACGCTATCGGTTGCCAGGGGCAACGCCTTCAGAAAGAGGCGCGACTAAAACATTCCAGAAATAGCGAAAGAGAGACAGCGCAGCTTAGTATTTGTTTACATTTTACCGATACGCCGCAGTTTCTTTGGAAGATATGGAGAAGGAAGAGAAATGAAAAGGGTTCTATCGGGAGAGACTAAATAACAATGCTAGCCAGCTTAGAGAAACAATAGGTTACTGTCGTAACCCCGGTTCTCTGAAACATCGAGTGGAGAGATCCACCTATGGGAAGGGCATCCATACCTGACCTCTGCAGAAGCATCCAATTGCACCAAGTCTGGCTAACAGACAGAAGCGCGCAGCCAATGCCAGGTGAGGCCACACCCCCTTACCTACGGGCATATCACAGCTGGGCACGCTGCTATTCCTCAGTAAGTATATTCGCTTCTCGTGCGGCAAGCGGGGCAAAGCTGGTGGATCTCTCCACTCGATGTTTCAGAGAACCGGGGTTACGACAGTAACCTATTGTTCTTTTTCATCATCTCGTTTCGAGATCCACCTATGGGAGAGACATGGACAGCTTCCCGATTGCCCAATACACTCACAGTGAGGTTCTGAAGGCCAGAGAAGGACGGTCACCTCAGAGAGGCGGTGCCTGACACGTCCCACAAACATGATCCTGCAAGTTTTCCGCCACACTAACTGCTGTGGACAAGCAGGGCATGAAACATGCATGAGACACATACATGATAATGGCCCCCGCACCACCAATGCACATAGCTAAACCCAAGAAGGAATGCGCATGCTTGGTGACAGGAATGAACATGGCCAGCCGGCCCATTCACTCCTCGTTGGTTAACCAAACGGGACTGTGGGAAAGGGCTAAGAGGACCCTACCCCTAGGACCGAGTGTGCCACCGAAGTTCTGGTGACATCCAACCGGTAGTAACGCTCAAAGGTATGAGGAGAGGCCCAGCTGGCGGCGGAGCAGATGTCCTGCAGTGGCACTCCCCTGACAAAGCCCAAGAGGCGGCTAAGCCCCTTGTGGAATGAGCTCTGATGCCCCTTGGGGCTGCACTCCCTTTGCTTCATAAGCCATAGTATAGCGTCCACAAGCCAATGTGAGAGGCATTGCTTTGAAATGGGACTCCCCTTGTGCAGGGGAGCCCTTGAAACAAAGAGCTGGTCGCTCTTGCGGAAAGCACTGGTCCTGGTCATATATGCTTGCAGAGCACGGACGGGACACAGATCATTCAGCCCCTGATCCTCCGGGGAGGCAAAGGGTGGAGGGTGAAAAGCGGATAGCTCCAAAACCTCCGAAGTGAACGCAGGGAAGCATTTCGGCATGAAGGCCGGGTTAGGCTTAAGGAAAACCTTATCTCCACTTAGGAAGAATTTGGCGCACGAGGGGTGAACCGAGAGTGCATGTAGCTCACTGACCCGTTTAGCAGATGCCAAGGCCGACAGCAAAGCTGTCTTGAGGGACAGCAGCTTAAGGGAAATACTCCCCAGAGGCTCAAAAGGATACAGAGACCGCGCTTCTAGCACCATGGAGAGGTTCCACTCTGGAACAGATCTCCTGATGACCGGCAAAGAGTGGCGTGCACCCACCATAAATCTGTGGGTTAGAGGGTGCTGCCTGACGGTGGAGCCCCAAAACCCGCATGACAGGCTGAAATCGCAGCCAGGTAGACCTTAATAGTGGAAAAGGACCTGCCTCTTTCCATGAGGTCTTGCAGGAAACACAAAATATCAGGCACCGAGCACTGATAAGATGTGAAACCACGCCCATCATACCACCCTTCGAACACTTGCCACTTACAGCCATATAGGGATTGCGTGGAAACGGAACTGGCATTCTGAGTAGTGGCGATTACACGCGGCGGGAGCCCCAGTGCATTTAGGTTCGTCCTCTCACGGGCCAGGCCCAGAGAGCCACCCTGTTCGGGTGGGGGTGGTAAATCTCCCCGTTGGCTTGGGACAGTATGTCCGTGCGAGGGGGGAGGCGCCATGGCTCTAACAGAGGGATTATCTCTGCCAGCCACGGGGCTTTGGGCCACCTGGATGCTATCAGAATGAGAGCTGAATCTCATCCATAACCTCTCCACTATCTGCGGGTGAAGACGCCAATCCCCGTAGATTGGGTTTCCCCTCTACAGCAGATCCGCGCCTCTGTTCCGAATGCCCGGAACATGAGTCACGCGTAATGACAGAAAAACCTGTCTGCTCCACACCAAAAGCCTGTAAGCTAGA